CCCTGCATGCCTGAGACTCCAAGATTTCTGTCGGCCACTCTGCCTCGAGAAGCTGGCTTTGACACGTGAAACACCAGAGCAATGCTGCAGTTGCTGTGGAGAAAGATACCATGAAAGCATCTCCTTCCGTCTTGACTTCAAAGCCGCCAATCTGTGCCAACTGTCGGCGGAAAAGGTCGTTATGGATTTGGATGGCAGAGCGCATGGCAACTGGATAAGTCTCCCAGAGTGAAGTGGATTTCTTGATATCCGTGAAGATAATTGCCAACTCGCCAGTTGGGGCTTCTACGCGATTCAAGCGTGCCAGTCTTGAGTCGCTCGGCGCACCGCGTTTCCTGTATTTGCTTGGCGGAGGGAAAAGGTGTTCATCGGTTAGTGGCGATGGCCCCATAGACAGACTTGGGGTTCTCAACTTAGGACGTTCGCCCCGTCGTTTGAGATCACTGACACCAGCAATCATCACCATGATTTTATTTGTCGCACCATACGCAATTGCCAGATCACGAAGCTTTTGAGAGGCGATCATCAAGTCTCCACGTTCGGACCTCGCAACATCAACAACAAGGTCTGGTGCAACGAAGTCCCACAACTCTCCCGAAGCAAGTATAATCATTTCATCCTGGGCGGTCAACGTAACTTTTCGGGTACTAGGGGCCGCGATTACAGCGGGCATCATGGGATAATAGCCAAAGGCCCGAGAAACAGAAATTTTATCATTTAGTTTCCCATTTCGAGAAACAAAGCCACCAGCCTCCCGTATACGTTCACGCTCCGACTCCTCGGCAGGGTCATGGTTATTGGTCAAGAACTTGAAGTCGCCATTTGAATGCACAAGTACCGCTTGAGCATCCCCAACATTCGCAACATACAATTCCATATTGTGCAAATACATAACAGTCGCCACACCGCCAGAATTGTAATCATCCGGCGTGAGATGCTTGCTACTGGGAGGGCCAGCTCGGTCCAAATGACGCTGCTCACGCTCATCCATGGACCGCTGAGCAGCCGTAGCCATATCCTTATTGAGGCCCAAAAACGTCCTTCTCAGTGCATCGAGCGGTGATTCGCCTCCGGAATTTCGAAGTTTCTTCAGCTCCTCTGCAAACATAGCTGTGAAGTGCTCTTGCAAGTATTTCGCAATCCTCGACCCACCGCTGTGCGAAGACTGGCCATCAAATAAACCGAGAATCGTTTCATAATTGTTTCCCCGAAACCGGGTAACCAGCATGTCGACCGTTGATAAATGTTCGCTTCGCCCAAGGCTATCCGCCATACCGTACGAAAGAGTGCCAGATAAGGATGCTGAGGTTCGCACTCGCCTATCCTCCGTCTGATCGGGGATGGTAGGGATGGTAAGAGTGACATCCATCAACCCAAGAACTCTAAGATGATGCAATGAGTTGAAGTTCGTCAAATCCGTACCGTGAGTAGCTGGATTCCCGGATGTATATGCAGCGGTGGGTTTGATCTCGAAACGCTTGTTACCCGAGAAATTAAGATATTTCAAGTTGCGATTCCAGTTCCAGTTCCAATCATACGGCCAATTAGAAACATTGTACTTGAGCGAATTGCTCCCCACATCCAGAATCGCAAGTCGGTTCACCTTACAAAGTTCCGCAGGCAGCACCTGGAATTTATTTGCGTTCAGGTGCAAGACCTTCAGGCTGCTTGATTCCTCAAGATCATCCGAAGGAAGCCAACTTAGTTGGTTTCCCGAGACATATAACTCTACAAGGGACTGCCACCGCCTGATCAGCCCCTGGGGAAGCTCCGTTATCTCATTGTACGATAAATTTAAGATTCGAAGCTCCACAAGTAACGCAAGCTGTTGGAATATATCGTCTTCAAGCTGATTGTCAGCAAGATACAAATGTCGCAAAGACGCAGCAAATGTAAGCGACATTCGTTGCGAGAAGCTGGAATCCTTTCGAGACGACGATGGCTCAGTCGCGGCACGAGATGCTGAGGAAGATTTCCTTGCAATGGACCCGGCATTATTAAACGAAACAACGGAACCTTGTCTATTGGTGTATGAGTTACTCGGAGAGCTTCCAACGCTAAGAAGGCCACCGGAGGCATAACTTGGTCGTCGCGTTTCGAAATCCTCCAACTTTCCAAGTTCTTCGAAATTCGGTGATGAGATGCCAGGGGTAGTTGCGGGAGTTCCATTTACAGGCAATTCGTTAGGAGGAACGGGAGGTGAGTCACTGACTTTCGGAAAGGAATCGAGGAGGTTGGAAGATACATTCAGGGTCTCTAGTTTACAACAGTACCACAATTCTGCAGGGAGTTTGCTGAGATTACATTCACGAAGGTTCAAATTCTTCAGTTCTTGCAAACAACCTATGGATGGTGGTAGGGTTGATAACGGGTTTTTCGCAATGCTAAAGTGCTCGAGTTTTCGTAGGGTCCCAATATAAGGAGAAAGGGTAACGAAATGGTTCTTGTTAAGAATGAGTTTGGTAAGGTTTGGGATATTCGTGAAGAGGGAGTCCTTGAATTGAACAAGCTTAGCGGACGCGATGTTGAGAGACGTGAGAGTCGGAACTGGGTTGGTTATATCAAACTCCGTCACGGGACAATGGTCAAGGGTAAACGTGCGTAGCTTTGGAAAGAACCCTGAAAATGTGGACACGGTATTATGTCCAACCATCAAGTGCTCCAAGCGAGGAAGCTGAGTGATGTTATCTATACTAGTAATGCTGTTGAATCGGGCGTCTATCTCTTTGAGATTCACAAGATCTCTGAAGGTCTCGCCTAGCGGCCCATGTAGTCCGTTATTAGTCACCCACAACCGCTCCAGCGTCTTGAGTCGTCCGATATTCGACAATTCTGTAATTTTGTTAAAACTGATATCCAGGTCGACCAAGCTCCTCAAATTGTACAAAAACTCCGGGAAACACGTGAAACTATTGGACGAGATATTCAGGCTTCGTAACAAAGGGAAATCGCCGAAATATGCAGGTAGCGTGGACAGCTTATTATTAGTAATTTTCAAGCTTATAAGTCCATGGAGATTGTGAAGCTCTGCATGGTCTAGGTTCTCAAGCCGATTGTTAGAGATATCTAGATAGGTAAGCCGTGTCGCTAAGCTTAGACTTGCTGGAAGGCGCCATGCTTCGTTTCCGATATATTTTATTTCACGAAGGTTGATGCAGCTTTGGATAAAATCTTTCGGGATATCCAGTGCTAGATTTCTTGAGAGATTTAAGGATATGATCTCGCTCGCTCTTTTATAGAGGGTGATGGGGAGGGTAATGAGACTGCGACCAGACAGGTCAATATGGCTGAACTTTTGACCCTCGTTAATGCCCAGATCAGTATCAAGACTGGAATAACCCGACAGTTTAGTTGGCAAGAACGTGAAGCGACAAAGGTAGCTATTATCCTCCCGGCCGATATCTGCTATTCGGTCGGACTGTTGATATCCTGCCTGTTCGAGCAATCTCTTCTGCATGAGAATAGGTCTCTCGCCATACTCAAGTGTTCTGGAAAGATCATTCTTCCGTAAAACGATGTCGTAATTGTTTAGTTCATCTTGCAAGAATGACTTTCGGCCCAGCATTTCTAATATTTCCGTCACAGTCGTGTTGAGGGTAGCCAACAAGCGTCGTGAAAGTGGAATCGATGCGGAATATGCGGTGGG